GAAAAGAGGGACTTCTCTGGTGGATCAGTGATTAAGACTGAGCCTTCCAATGCTGAGGGGTGCAGGTTTGATCCCTGGTCGGGGAACTAAGATCCCACATACCTCGTGGCCAAAAAACCCAAACATAAGAAACAGAAGCAACACTGTAACAAATTCCACAAAGACTTTAAAAATGGTCTACATCAAAAGTATGTGATAAAAGACAGAGACTGCAATGGACATTATACAGTTCTTATTTCATTCTGGACACACAGATTTCTCCAAGACCTCTTGCTTTTGAAAAGGACATGTGACTACTCTGACCAATGGTATCACCCGTGAGTCAAAGAATTAAAAAAGAGATATTTTCATACCAGCAACCAATGACTGATGTTAATGCTAAAGAAATAAATCTTTTCTTATGAAGCTCTTAAAAAAAGAAAATAAAACCCTTACAAAGTCTTTTAGCCCACCTGTTTCTTTTCTAAACCATCAGACACCGAAAATAAGACTGTGACTTAAAATATTATTACTACCACATTTGGCTCGTGGAAATTTCTGGATGATACAGAGACAACCATTGATTTCTGGACGTTAACAAGGCTAGAGAGTTGTTTAATGCCAGCACGCTCAGCAGGGCAAGACGCACTCCATCTCTCTCTCTGTGAAAGGTCATGGCCATTTATCTGAAGGAAGTATTAATGGCTTTGCACACCAAAACTTCTCTGCAGGGCGGTTCATCACTGTCTTGTTCATTCATAGGCAGACCTGGAAGCTCCTCGAGCCACAAAAACAGGGGAGGGGGCTGGTCACACAAACCACAGTGCATTTGTAACTGGCTGCAAAAACACTGTTGAAAACCTCATTGAGTGCAAACCTTAGGTGACATGAAAAAATCACCCATTACCTGTTAAGCAAATAAAAGCACTTTACAAACTGTAGCGTGTCATCCTACTTTTCTAAAAATAAGACAAAACCAGCAACTGCAAATTGTATGTCGCCTATGAAATAGTGTAAAATTTTACTTTCAATACTAAATCCGGGGGGAGAGGGAGTGGGAGCGTCTAGTTTTTTCTCGGTTTCCCGAAGTTTCTACAATGAACAAGTATTACTTCTGTTATTGGGAATAAAGCCTGTAAGTTACGTCTTATTATTTTTATTTGTTTGACCATTGATGGACAACAGTTTCTTGTTGTTGGATTGGGACTGGGTTGGGGTGAAAGACTATTTTTTGGCTAGGTCGGGTCTTAGTTGTGTCATGTGAGATCTAGTTCCCTGACAAGGGATCGAAGCCAGGCCCCCTGCATTGAGAACTTGGAGTCTTAGCCACTGGACCACCAGGGAAGTCCCAAGGGGTCAAAAACTCTTGACATGAGGTTCTTTGCTGCCCTCAACCCCCAGCTGCCACAAAACAGGGCATGGGAATGCCGGCTGCATTTGGGAACCAAACTGGGGCTCCTCCTTCCACACAGACCTGAGACAGAACATGAAAGGTGAGCCATTCTGGGCTATGCTTGCTCATTCTCCACTAACAGGTCTTTTCATGGCTGTATCAGAGGCTGTGATCCCCCACCGTCTAATTCCATCTGGGATGTGGGCTGTGAATACCCAAGGGAAGTCTGTACTTGCCCCACACTCTAGAAAGTCTTTAGGAAGCCAGGAAAACTCAAGAACTCTCCCCAGACTCACACACCCACTTAAGTCTCCTCCTTCAATAGTATTCCTGATTAACACCTCTCTTTAGGATAGTTAAGTTACTTGTCATGCCTTCAATACTTTGCTGAAATGAATGAAACACATCCTGAATATGATCCTAATACCAAAGACAACCAAAAGACAATTTCCATGAAGTTCCAAAATGACCCCAGGGGGCTGTGCAGTCCCAGGTTGAGAACCATCGCTTCAACAGTGAATTGATACTGATATGATTACTTCCAGGATAATCTCAGAACAAGCACCGTATCTCAGCACGCTCCAGCAGACCCTGGATGGGCTAGTCCTGGCATATTTCTCCAGACTCACTCACACCATTCCCAGCCCTGTCCCCTTCCCTCCAACCATCATCACTCCTCCTTCCTCTGGTCACTGAGCCCCTGTCTGTGCTCTTCCTTCTTCTGGCAATGCTGTTCCCTCATCCTCCAAATATCCCTTCCACAGAAAAGCCCTTTCTTACCTCCCTGACAGGGTAGACCTCCCAGTTAATTCCCTGCGGCAGGGGTCCCCAACCTCTAGGATCGGATGCCTGATGATCTGAGATGGAGCTGATGTAATCATAATAGAAAGAAAGTGCACAATAAATGTAATGCACTTGAATCATCCTGAACCATCTCCCGCCCTCAGTCCATGGAAAATTGTCTTCCATGAAACTGGTGCCTGGTGCCCAACAGGTTGGGGACTGTTGCTCTATGGGCCTCTTGTTTGTAACTTTTGTCCCAGTGTACAATTTTATATTTAAAACCACTTAATGTTTATTTTCCCAATTATACTATAAAGAGGTCAGGGGCTGTTCCTGACCCCTCTTGTTCACTGGGCCTTCCACACTGTCCTAGCATACAGCAGGTGCTCTGTATTTACTGAGTAAATAAAGGAACCTTCTAGGAATTCTCTGCTGGTCCAGTAGTTAGAACTCGGTGCTCTGACTGCCGAGCGCCTGGGTTCAATCCCTGATTAGGGAACTAAGATTCCACAAGCTGCACAGCGTGACTGAAAATAAAACTTTAAAAAAAGGAAGCTTCTGGAAGACACTTGAGGTTTCCATCTTCACGGCTTACGAAACTACATTCTGATTCTCCGTCCCTATTATGGTTCTGCAAATGTCACAGTCTCTGCCGAAAGGATCTAGCTTGTTAATGGCTGTACTCCACAGGCTTGGATTCTACAGAGGCAAGAAGAGAGCAGATGCTCAGTAAGAGAGATAAACCCCTTTCTAAATGTCAGGAAGAACTGCCCAACACTGGCCCTCTTCTCACCGTATCTCCTTCCTTTCTACGTACCCCCTGCCCAGAATCACCGGAATAAAGTCACTAGGAGGCCAACAGGGCATGCCCAGCCCGACACACCCACACTCAACTCAAGATTCAACTCAAATGTCACCTTAATCTTCCCTCCGTCCTTCCTTCCTTATGTGGGCAACCACAGATCTTTCAGCTCCTCAGCCAGGCAGTTTGGGGACAAGTCTGTCTTCTCAGCAAAACCACAGAATCCTTGAGGGAAAGGGCTTTGTCGCAGCCATCTGTTTCCGGAGAAACAGAGGTGAACATGGCACTCACCGAAGTCTGATGAACAAACACAATGATGAGGGGTGCTGGTGGAGCCCCAGGAAGGCCCTCTGGATGCCTGCAGGGAGGCCCGGCTCCAGCTCACACTCTGTGAGGATCCAGATGGGCCTTCCTTCCTCGAGTAGTGGATTTGGGGGGACTCCCAGAGAAGAGGAGGCGGAGATCAGCCCTACATGGTCTCTGTGTAGTAATATGACCATGAACGGCAACTTCACTCCCAGAGGGTCTGCTCAAACCGGCCTGCATCCACAGGGCAGTCCCCAGGGAAGGAAGAAGGTGCAAGAACCCCCTGGGCACTCAGACGCAATTCTCCAAGTCTCTGTTCTCTCTGGGACATCAGGCCATCACTGTCACCTGCAACTTGGCCCAAGGGCCAAAGCTAAGAGGCTAGTTCAGGAGCTGAACGAAGGGGAGGTTTCTCTTCTCCACTGTGTGTGTCGATTAAACTTATGGATGAAAATAGAGGCTCTGACCCCAATCTTTGTCCACCAAACTCATCATTCAGCTCCTGATACACCTTCCAAGGCTCCCATTCATCTTTCTTAAGGATGGGGAGGTAGGTAGGTCCCCTCTATTTGGCTGATCAGATCTCTCAGTCTGAATCCCCCAAAATGCCCTACTCAAAGCCAACACAGCTGCACCTGATTTATTTTGGTTAGTAGCTAAAATACTTCCACTTCCTAATTTTTAGTCCATCTAGATGCTCTTCTTTGAGAAAAGGGAACTCAGTCCCTCTTCCCTTCAGGTCTGGCCTAAGCAGGAAACCAGAGCCCCCTCTACACACCCTTGGCCCCCAGAGTAACAGAGCTGTGGATGCCTGTGAGGCCCTCAGCCTGTGTCCAGGCAGGCCCGGCCTCTGGGTCTGTGGCCTTGTGTATCAGCCCCACGCCTCCCTCCTTTCAAAACTACCACTTTCTCCTCTACCATTCTCGCTGCAAACATTATCAGGAGTGGAATCAAAAAGAGCCCGGCCGAGTTTCCAAACACATCAGACGAACGGGAAAGGTGTTTCAGGTTTAAAACTTGTGAGGAAGAAAAACTTGGGAAGACAGAGAAGAATGGGGAACAGGCCGGGGCAAGGTCTGCGCTGCTGGAGGCCTCCGCCTCTGTCCCGCCCGGCTCCCTTTCCGGAGATGCCCACTCCCCAACAAAGTACAGAGGCCTCCCCAGTGACCACTGCCGTCCAGCGGCCCCGAGGGCCGGCCCTCCCTCGGGAGTCGAGAGGCAGGGCCCGGGACAGCTGCCCCAAGGGTCCCCGCGCCTTCTGTCCCCGGGAAGGCCGGGCCGTGGACCCCGCGCTCGGGCGAAGCCGCTCGGGTGGCAGGAAGCCCAGCGGCGCGGGGTCCGCGAAGAAGACGCGGTGGCCAGAGCGCTGGACGAGGTCGGCTTCCGCAGCCTGAGCGCCGCCCCCCGGCACTCCCCACCCCCTGCGCGGGTCCGAAGCGGCGCGGTCCGAGAAGAGGAAGGAAGACGCTCGGGAACTTTGGCCGTGGTTTCCTACGGTCCCAGGCAGACCGACCCCGCGGAGCGGCTGGAGAAACTTGGGAGCCCGGAGCAGGGGCCGGGGGAGCAGGCCGGGGGGTGCGCCCAGTTCCTCGCCGGAGGAAGCCCCTTCCAACTTGACTGGGGTGACTCGCGACCCCGCCCAGGGCGCGATGCTCCCGCCGCAACCGCGTCCGCTCCCCGGACCCTGCTCTCCGCGTCACCCCGCAGGACCCCGGCCTGCGCCCTGGCCTCTCTTACCATCTGCGCCACCTTCAGTATCGCCCCGTGCGTGCGGGGGTAGATGGGATCCAGCAGATTCTCCAAGGAGCTCACGCCCAGCGGCCCCGCGCCGGCTCCGGCTCCCGGGGCGCTGCCGCTGCTGCACGTGGTGCGGACGAGCCCGGCTCCGTGCGACATCGCGCGGCCCTTGCCCGCGGGCCGCCTCCGGCGGCGGAGGCCAGGGGCCAGTACCAGAGGGGCGGGGCCTTCGTGGGCGGGGCCTCTGTGGTGAGGGGCGGGGCCTTGGTGGGCGGGGCGCAAAAGCCCCGGGCCCGCGCGGGCGACGCCCACCCACCCACCCACAGGCCGGGGCGCAGCTGAAAGGTGACTGCAGCCTCCGCCCTCGGGGAGGCGCGGAAGTTGGACTGGAGTGGGGCGAGGGAAACGGATGCCCCCAGTGTTAGTCTTTCCGAGGTGGGCGAGGCCGGGCACAGCTGGTCTGAGCCTCCTGGGATCTGGTGTGGGCGCGGCTGCGGATGTGTGCTAAGGGCCCTTGAAGTATAAACTACACTCACTGAAATGCCCAAACCTTCCGTGTTCAGCTCCATTAATTGTTCTGTATGAGTATACATCTGTGTAATCACCGCCCACGGGGGAAAAGTTCCATCGCTCTTTTCCCACTTCCTGTCGCTACAGATTCGTTTTGCTGCTTTTTCGTTTGTCCACTTTTTTGGTGGACAGAAGCTCTCATTTCTCTGGGGGGGGGGTAACTATCACTGGGTTTGCTGGGTCACAAAGTGCGCATAGGTTTCTCTCTAGAAGAAGCTGTCAAGCAGCTAAACAAGAGAGATGCTGTTTCCCGCGTTCTGGGTTATTTTTCAAATGAACAAGCAGATCATACCAAAGGAGATAGTCATCAAACTTGTTATACCACCAAATGTTTCCACACAACACAAAAACCTACCTCCTGAGGTCACTGGATGCCTGTGCTATCCTGTCAACAGAGAACTGTCAATTTGGCAAAGTCTTGATAATTTTTTTTTTTCTGGTCGGACCATGTGGTATTTAGAATCTTAGTTCCCCAATTAAGATCCCAGGCCCCCTACGGTGGGAGCATGGCATCTTAACCACAGGACCACTGGAGAAGTCTTTTGATAATTTCTAGAATGTAGAGATACTCATGAAATCTCTGCTTTGACAAGTTTGCCAGGTGTTTCTACTGAACGCTCAAGTTTGAGAACCAGTCATCGCCAAAGCTGGAGCATTTGGGGATTCATGACGCCACGTTCTCTACTTCTGTGTACATTAGAAAATTTTCATGACCAAAAAAAAGAAACTGCCTCCAATATCTGTTTTCTGTTTAGACAACAGTCATAGTGCCTAGTACTTGCATTTCATTCTCTGAAACAAAGGTAATTGCATCTCAGGGCTGCTGTGACAATGTGACAGCCATGCAGGTGCTCTGTGACAGCTCCAGATGCCACAGGCATGAAGTTGATATTGCATGCCATTTTCTGTATAGTTTCACATCTTCACTTCTGTGCTTTTCCAAGGGTTCACAACACACTGTGGAGATGACAAGAGGTCTTTGTTGCTGTGAAGGCTTCAGGAAAGCAGAAAAAAACCAGCCCTGGATTATGCTTCCTTCTAGGGGCCACCAATCTTCTAAATCAGTGATTTTCAATGTGTTCCCAGTATCACCTGGGAACTTGTGAGAAATGCAAATCTGACTGCTTCCCCCCTCCATCTGCCCAGACCTGCTGAATCAGAACTTCCGGGTATGAGGCTCAGCAACCCGTGTTCTGGCAAGGTCAGCCCCCAACCTCCTACGTGATTCAGATGCATTTCAGAGTTTGAGAACCACTGTCTTTTCCAAGTCCAGTGGAGCTGAGACTGGTCTGGGTTTCTCTGACTGCCCCTGGCCCACGTGCCACCCAGCCTAGATCACTGGTGGTGGCCCACTCTGTGTTAATCACTTTATCATGATCACTTAAAATCTTGAGTGAGAGGGGCTACACTGGTGGTTCAGGGACTAAAACTCCACGCTCCCAATACAGGGGACCTGGGGTTCGATCCCTGGTCAGGGAACTAGATCCTGCATGCCGCAACAGAGCTGGTGCAGCCAAATAAATTTTTTTTCTTTTTTAAAAAGCTGGAGCGAGAGGCTTGGCAGCACAAGAGCCATGTGCTGGCCTGGAGTGTAAGAGGCTCCACAGACCAGACCTGTGGCCAAGTACATGGAGATGTCTGCACAATGTGATGCCCTCTTGGTGCAAAGGGCTGCCCCCTGGGGAGCAAGGGCTTAGGTGGGTGCACTCACAAGAGTGAGGGGGCCCACTAACGAGGCTACAGTCCATGGGGTCGCAAAGAGTCAGACACACCTGAGCAGAGCACAGCCATGCAGCCCAAGAATAACTGTGACTATCAAACAGGTCAGATCAATTTCACTGTTGTATTAAACTAAAATTAAGTCTGAACAGAAATGCTCACTGTGTATTCTTTTTTTTTTTCCAGGAAAAACAAAGAAATTAAAAATCACCGCATGATCCTTTACAATTAAGCTCTGAGTTACACCACAGTTTCCTGTTAGAAACTCCTCACAAAGAGTTTTTTGTGGCAGCGTTGATTTTTTTAGTGTGTGTATAGCTTATTTTTCCTCATTCTATATATTTAAAGAGACAGCAGCTTAACAACTGGTTTTCATTTTCGTAATCAACCTACCAACCACAGTTCAAGCACAGCTTAAAAAATGTGTTAAAAATACAAGTGTTAGTCGCTCAGTCATGCCCAACTCTTTGCGACCCCATGGACTGTAGCCTACCAGGCTCCTTGGTCCATAGGATCTTCCAGGCAAGCGTACTGGAGTGGGTTGCCATTTCCTTCTCCAGGGGATCTTCCTGACTCAGAGAAATACAAAGTTAAATCATTAATGATAGTGCTAGCCAGTTCTGATTCTGAATAAACTTGGGTTGTACTGCATTCATTTATAAAGTTTCATTCAATGATTCATTGACCCATCATTCTACTGTTAGGGTTGTAGGCTAATTTATTTTTTTTCCTATTATACATAAGACCAGCATTAGCATCTGTAGGCATGAATCTTAAGACTCCTAAGAGAAGGATCCCCAAATCAAAGGGAGTGAATATTTTTAAGACTCCTCATGTATACATACACACACACACATACTCCGGTTTCTGGAAATGTTGTGCCACTTCATTCCCACAGCCTATGCAGTTTTCACCTACTTCCTTTTCTCATAGTACAGATGTTTTCTGTCCACTAGGCTGGAGGAGGAGCTGGCAGTTGCACTGTGTCTTCATGAAGTATCTTTACATCTTCATCTTTCTTCCAGTGCCTTCATCCCATGGCTGGCTCCTCCTCGTGGTCACAAGATAATTGTCAACTTTCCGCTTGTACATTTCCTCAGAACTCCCCAGCAACCCTGGGTCACATGCTCTTGACTGAGCCAGTTACTGCGGCCAGGGTGGGATGGGCTTAGCCCTGGCCACACGCTCCATCCCAGAGCACAGTGGAGCTAGCTTTCCCTGAAGTCGCTGGGGTGTAAGTGGGTGGTGTGGATACTGAAAAAAAACTAGGGCACTCAGATGACAAGAGGAAGAAGGGATGCTGAGGACGCAGTGGCAAGGTCTGCTACATCCTGACTTAACTTTTACTCTGAATATTCTAGAAAAGAAGTCTGCTATTGACATGAAACACACCTTCCAAATGGAATGAATGCCTCAACTTTTCTGCCACTCACCTTAAGTTTCTGAAAAATCATCGCCTCTGGGTTGCCAAGCACTTTCCCTCAAACCTGATACTCTTTTATATACACCAAATACGTAAGTTTACTTTTAACAACAGATATTCTGATCTTTCTCACTGTCCAAAGTCATCAACACTGGAAGAGTAACCTACCTTCTTTTTCCTCTGTCTGCTTACAATTACTCTGGCAGCAGAATGTAGCCAGAATATTTATGTAACACCAAGTGAGGAGATATTTCTCAGGTTGCCCTTTTTCACTGTGCATCTGTGTGCATTTAGGCTGATATGGGCTTTCCTCGGACATTGGGCGGGTTTGGTCCCAGACCATAACAATAATGAGAGTCACACACATTTTTTTGGTTTCTCCGTGCATATAAAAGTTCTGTTTATACTATAGTCTACTAATAGCATTATGTCTAAAAAACAATGTACATACTTAATTTAAAAATACTTTTTTTGCTAAAAAAAAAATGCTAACAATCCTCTGGCCTTCAGCAAGTCATAAGCTTTTTCCTGGTAGAGGGTCTGGCCTGGATGTTGACGGCAGCTGACTGATCAAGGTGGTGGCTGCTGAATTTTGGGGTGGCCATCTTAGTCTTAAAATAGGACAGCAGTCAAGTTTGCCTCATAGATTGACTCTTCCTTTCACAAATGATTTCTCTGCACTCGGCAGTGCTGCTTGGTAGCGTTTACCCACAGATATTCTTTCAGAATTGGAGTTAGTCCTCTTGAATCCTGCCGCTGCTTTAGCAGCTGAGTTTATGTAATATTCTAAACCCTCTGTCATCATTTCAATAGTCTTCATAGCATCTTCACCAGGAGCAGATACCATCTCAAGGAACCACTGTCTTTTCTCATCCATAAGCGACTCCTCACCCATTAAAGTTTCATCAGGAGAGGAGAGGCAGCACTGGGCCCCATCTGCCCACTGGCTCTTTGCTGGCTGCTCCACGGCATGTGGGATCTTAGTTCCCCGAGCAGGGATCGAACCTGGGCCCCCTGCATTGGGAGCTCGGAGTCTTAACCACTGACAGCCAGGGAAGGCCCCAGGCTCCACTTCTAGCTAGCTCTCCTGCAATGCCCACCACATCTGCAGTTACTTCCTCTGCTGAAGCCTCGAACCCCAAAGTCCTCCACAGGGCTGGAACCAACTTTCTCCAAACTGCTGGCAATGTTGCCCTTCTGACCTCTTCTTACAAATCACGAATATTCTAAATGACATCGGTTGTTAAAAACAGTCCTTTCCAGAAGGTTTTCAACTGACTTTGCCCAGATCTGTCAGAGAAATCACCATCTACAGCAGTCAAAGCCTTACAAAATATATTTCTTAAATAATAAGCCGAAATGACTCCATGATCCATGGGTTATAGGACAGGTGTTGCATTAGCAGGCATGACAACATTAATCTCTTATTCATCTCCACCAGAGCGCTGGGGTGACCCAGTGCTTTGTCAGTAAGCAGTCATATTTGGAAAGGAATCTTTTTTTTTTTTTGAGCAGTATGTCTCAACGGTGGGCTTAAGGTAGTCAGTAAACCATGCTGTCAACAGATGTGCTGTCCTCCAGGCTTTTGTTGTTTCACTGACGGAGCACAGGCAGGGTGGGTACAATATAAGCCTTATGGTCCCTGGGGCTTCCCTGGTGGTTCAGCCAGTAAAGAATCTGCCTGCATGGTGGGAGACCTGAGTTCGATCCCTGAGTCGGGAAGATTCCCCCGGGGAGGAAATGGCTACCCACTCCAGGATTCTTGTCTGGAGAATTTCATGAGCCTGATGAACTACAGTCCATGGGATCGCAGAGAGTCAGACACGACTAAGGGACTAACACTTTCACTTTAGGGTCCCCAGGATTTTCAGAATGGTAAGTGAATACGAATCTTAACTTAAAATCACCAGCTGTGTTTCACCCCTAACGACAGAGTCAACCTGTCCCTTGGAGCTTTGAAACCAGGCGCTGACTTCTCTCCAGCTCGGAAAGTGCTAGATGGCATCTTCTCCCAATAGAAGCCTGATTTGTCTACACTGAAAATCCGTTACTTAGAGTAGCCACGTTGATGAATTTATCTAGATCTTCTGCACATCTCAATGCAGCTTCTACATCAGCACTTGCTGTTTCACCTCCAACTTTTTTTTTTTCACCTCCAACTTTAAAGAGACGGCTTCTTTCTTTAAACCTCATGAACCAACCTCTGTTAGCTTCAGACTTTTCCTCTGCGGCTTCCTCATCTCTCTCAGCCTTCCCAGAATTAAAAAGAGTTGGGACCTAGCTCTGGATTAGGCTTTTTTTTTTTTCCCCTGCTTCAAGAAAAGTGGCTGTTTTGATCCTCTTTCTACACAGACCCCTAAAACTTCCATATCGGCAATTAGGCAGTTTCCCTTTCTTATCATTCCTGTGTTCACTGGAGTAGCACTTTTAATTTCCTTCAGGAACTTCTTTGCATTTGCAACTTGGCTGTTTGGCACAAGAGGCTGAGCTTTCAGCCTGTCTGGGCTTTTGACACGCCTTCCTCATTAAGCTTAATCATTTCTAGCTTTTTATTTAAACTGAGATACATGTGCCTCTTCCTTTCACGTGAACACTTAAGAGATCATTGAAGGGTTATTAACTGGCCTAGTCTCAATACTGTTGTCTGAGGGAACAGGGAGGCCTGTGGAGAGGGAGAGAGATGGGGAACGAGCAGTTGGAACACACACATTTATGGATTAAATTCATCATCTTATATGGGCACGGTTTGTGGTGCCTGAAAACAAACAGTAACATCAAAGACCACAGATCACTGAAAGAAACATAATAATGAGAAGGTCTGAAATACTGGGAGAATTACCAAAATGTGACACAGACATGAAGTGAGGAAATGCTATTGGAAAAATGGACTTGGCCCACATAGGGTTGCCTCAAACCTTCAGTTTGTATAAAATACGGTGTCTGTGAAGTGCAGTAAAGTGAAGGGCAATAAAATGAGATGTGCCTGGATTGTTTCTTTTTCCTGTGAAAATCTCTTTTCAATTTAAGAATTGTCTGCTGCTGCTGCCGCTAAGTCGCTTCAGTCGTGTCCGACTCTGTGTGACCCCATAGACGGCAGCCCACCAGGCTCCCCCGTCCCTGGGATTCTCCAGGCAAGAACACTGAAGTGGGTTGCCATTTCCTTCTCCAGTGCATGAAAGTGAAAAATGAAAGTGAAGTCACGCAGTTGTGTCCGACTCTTAGCGACCCCATGGACTGCAGCCCACCAGGCTCCTCCATCCATGGGATTTTCCAGGCAAGAATACTGGAGTGGGGTGCCACTGCCTTCTCCAAAGAATTGTCGAGGGAACAGAAATTCAGACTTTTAAACTGATTTCCTACCCAGGGCTGCATCTTCAGTTAGTGTTGTTAAATGTCTGTGCTCTCTGCAGAGATAGCTTGTGTATTTAACATGCCTGTGCACTGATACCCTGCGGGGAGTCGCCTATGAAGGGAGAATTTTAAATGTACAAAAGTAACGGATGCCGAACATTCTTGCCTCTAGATTTTCTTACAGTTTTAAAATATTGGCCAAACATTTACCTTGTGGGACTGAGTTGGAAATAGCCATAGAGAGAAATTAAATGCCTAAAGCATTTCATTGATTTGTCATGAGTGGGTAAATACATCAAATGAAACCCACCCTCCTCGGGTTTCATTCTATCAGAAAGAATGTGATGGTTCTGGAAGGGCTAAGAGCTGAATGCAGACAACAAAGTGTAAGCACATTCTATTATACTTGGAATAATATTTTTCATCCCCAGAAAACTACTCTTCTTGTCATGCTGGCCGTGTTGCATGTGACTTTATTTTTTTTCCCCCTTCTTCCTCCAGAGAAAAATTAAGCCCAGTTCAAAACTTATAGCTTCAGCAGAAAAACAGAGAATCATTTTATTGTCTAAAAATTCACACTTAAAAATTATTCATGAACAAAGTCAGCATTCAAAAGAAGAAATAACAACTTCCTTTCAGCTAAAAATAAATGTTTTTTTTGTTTTCTGGGTGGTTTTTTGGAGGTGAACTTTCAAGGCAATGCTAAGCGTCATGCTCTTGAAAAGCCACAGAGACATGATGGCAAGTCCCCCCGCCCCCCAACATGGACACAAATGAAACACTGATCTCTTGAAATAGATCCCTTGAAATTGATCCCTTTGGTGCTTCCAGTTTAGGAAAGGTCCACAGCTGGTTGCAGTCTATTTGGAGGCTATTTCAAGTTGGCTAACGAAAACTTTTACCCCAGAAGCTACTTCCTATAAATGTGGCCATGGCTGTAGAAATCTCTCACACACACACACACACACACACACACACACACAGAACATAAAAACAGGCTTCTTCTTCATGACTGTTTCCAGAAACAGACCTCTTAGGTTACACTTTCTCTGCCTTTCATGGAGACTTAACTGCAGTACAAAGCACTTAAAAATCCACCCGGCAACGTGAGATAATGTAAAAAAAAGAATAAATATGCTTATATATAAAGTGCATCACTTGCTGTGTACCTAAAACACAACAGTGCAAACCCACTGTATTCCAATTTAAGAAAAACTGATACACGGCAGGTACATGGAAGGTGAAGATGCTTCTGCGAGTGTGAGAGGGGAAGATGGACAGGGAGGCGGGGCACACAAACCCTGACTAGTTATTTCAGCTTTTCCAGCAAAACCAGCAAGTCGCACGCTGTCCGGGTGACGCCTGGGAACAAAACTCCAGAAAGATCGCGGGCAGGTGTAAGCTGCAGAAGCCGAAGCATTGAGACCACAGGTGGGGCTCAGACAGGCCTCCTGTGTCCCCATACCCGGCCCCTCCCCGCAAGCACTTTGGACCCACAAGCCAAGAACATTCTTCACTGCTCCTTTCAAAGGTCTGGAGTGGGTGTCATTAGACACTGGAGAAATCCCAACTCTCCTTCTTATACAGGGGAAAACAGAGCATGGGTGAGGAATCAGAGGAACAGGAAAAGCAGCACGAACACCACACAGCAGAAAGAAACCGCCACACGAGCAGAACAGCGGGGGCCAGGTCCACAGTGTTCGCCTGAACCCGCTCCTGCTCACCAACTACACTAACGCTTCTATGGTTTTTTGATTTTCAAAAGAGGCTCAGTTTGAAAAGTCACCCAAGGTACACTGCCGTGCCAGCAAAGTCACCCAAGGTACACTGCCGTGCCAGCAAGAGCCATCCTGCCCGAGAACACTTCCTCTGAGTGCACATCTGCCTCCCAAGTGGGCATCTTCCTACTGCCTCCTAAGAGCTGATAACAATGTTACAAATGATTCAGGCTGGAGTCTAGAGATTTGGGACTTTTGGGTCACACATGTTCCACTCAATATGGGACCTCTGTCTCTGGGGTCAGCAGGATGGTTTTAAGGTGCATGCAAGTATTTACTCTTTGAATGGTTACGAGTTTATTTTAATCAGTGTTAGAAACCAAACCACCAGCGCATCGGCCACTGTGCTCAGAGCTTCACTTGGGGGGGGCTCATTACTAAGCTTCAAGGTGAGTGGCTCATGAGATGCATTTGGTGCCAACCAGTCAGCGTGTGAGAATCATGGATGCCAACGACCCCCAGGCTTGGGGAGATGGATCTCTTTGACAAACTGGCCTGTGGACAGTGTCTCCTGGCAGTATCGACCCTGGGCAACCCTGTGAGGGTGAAGAACTCCCCACAGCCCCCAGCCTCAGGCTTCAGCAAAAGGTCTCCTTTCTTGAATGAGACACCATGTTACCCTGGATTCTGCAACATTTAATCAAAAAAGAATTTAGCATTTTTAAAAGTTCGGTTTATAAACTTGATGCATTCTTTGTATCAGCAGTTCATCTCTTTCTACATTGCCTAAGAAAATAAGGTCTGTGAAGACAGCAACAAGATAGTTAAGAGTTCATCAGAAGCTACAGCAGATAAGTATCCAGTTTAATTGTAACAAACCAGTGTCAGCAAATTTAACTAAGTATATAAAAACATTAGTTAAATACAAATCTCTGGAAATATACATTATACCTACAGGTTTGTTTTTTGTTTGTTTTTTTACAGTGAGTCTTCCTTTTTTCCCTGCTTTTAATTTTCAAAATGGTGAATCACTGTATGGTCCTGGATCTCCAAGCTATAAAACTGAAATATGTGTTTCCAGCGTAGCAGATGGTAACCAGGAAGGCGAAGAACTGGAGAAAACAAAACACAATAGAAAGAGGGTTTAGGATGCATCCTAATTAGCAAAAGTCATCACTTTACTTACATCGAATAATGTACTTACAACACCCCTTGACTCCAAGTTTTTTCATCTAAAACTGCTTTATTGGTTCAATTACCTTCCTTCTGGAATGGATTTGGGCTGTTTTTCTTCCTTGGGACTATCTGGGAAGCCTGTAGTTTTATACCAATCCCCTGCCCTCCTCCAGGGGATCTTCCCAACCCAGAGATCGAACCCGTGTCTCTTACATCTCCTGCCATGGCAGGAGGGTTCTTTACCACTAGCGCTGCCTGAGAAGCCTATTATATATATATCTCTATATAGATACAGATATATATTCTTTCTCATATTATTTTCCATTATGGTTTATCACAGGGTATTGAATGTAGTTCTCTGTGCTATGCAGTAGGACCTGGTTGTTTATCCATCCTATAGATAATAGTTTGCAACTGCCCAGCTGATTCTTGCTGTGTGTGTTAACTACAATAGACCGTGATTTTTAATCTCATGTGGACTCATGCTGTTTACCTTCAAATAGGGTAAAGCACCCGCTCCATCCTTACCTGGAGAATCCCATGAACAGAGGAGCCTGGTGGGCTACAGTCGATGGGGTCGCAAAGAGTCAGACATGAATGAAGCAACTTGGTATGCATGCATGCAGAGATTTTGAAATATAAGTTTAAAGCGCTGGCACAATAAACACCCATGTATCACCCATCAGCTTTAACATCATCCTGCTGGCCTTCCTGTGTAACTGCCCACTCCCCCTAACACTTCTGATGCTGGTGAAATATATTAAGGCCAATCTCAGAGCAACTTGAAAAATTCATTTTTTAAATTTGAAAAATACACGATTCAAAAATGCCAACAGTACAGAAGTACATGAATTAAAAAGCAGAAGCCTCTCATCCCACACCCCTCATGGTCCATCACAGTCCCTGGAAGGAACCTCCGCTAGGGTTTATCCCTCCAGGCATCGCTGGGGCGTAAACAACAATTTCTACTTAAACAGAATCCTAGAGCGCTCATCTTCTGTCCCTCCCCACAGCTGATGCTGTAGGCAGGAGAATTATTCTTAGAATGCCTCAAATGTTTTCTCTCCCACAAATACTTATTTTGTTCCAGAGTCTGGCTTTCACTCCAGTGCACTATTCCAGCCTCTTCACGCTCCAGGCCATCGGAGGCCCCATGATATGCAAAGCAGAAGTTCGTTGCCAAGGAGTCCCCCTGGAAGGTGACGCTTTCCCTACAGGTGTGCTGTCCTCAGTCGTTCAGTCGTATCTGACTCTTTGTGACTCCATGGACTGCAGCCCACAAGGCTCCTCTGTCCATGGGATTCTCCAGGCTGTAATACTGGGTGGCCATTATACTGGGGAGTGGGTTGCCATTCCCCTCTCCAGGAGATCTTCCCAACCCGGGCATCAAACCTGTGGCTCCCGCACGTCCTGCCCTGGCAGGCAGTTTCTTGACTGCTGAGCCACCTGGAAAGTCCTGCAGGCAACTCTTTCCTCTGCCCTCTGATCCGCAGCCGGCCTCAGGGAGGAGACCCCTGGGATGACAGGCTCACTCACCGACGAAGCCGCCCAGCTGTTGAAGTTGTGACTGTCTCTCTCCGGGGAGACGGAAGATGCGTCCACAATAGCGGCTGAGAGGTATAAGGCGAAGGCACTGCCGTTAAACCACAGACCCTGGGAAGCAGAGGTGCAGAGTGTTTAGGGAGCCTGGGAAGGTCTGGGCACCCCCAGACCCCAGAAGCAGCTAGAATCGCACTTGGCAAGGTGCTCATGTGGATGCAGGAAGAAGGCAGTGGACAAGGCTAATGAGAAAGTGGCTCCTTGGTACCTAAGGGGTCCCTGGTGCATGCTACTTCCTCCACTCACACAGGCATGAGGGTTTGCAAAAGGGCTCCTCAATGAAAGCAGCAAATAAAATATCCCAACTAGAAGACAGACACACCTGATCTTTATTAGCATCCACTGGCAGTACATGAAATTTTCAAAATTTGGCTGCAAACATCTTCGAAATGGGGGAGCTGAAACAGAAACCCAGATTTCTGGATCCTCCAGGGAGGGAGAAAAAGCCAACAACAGAAGACCTAGTGATCCTGGAAACACACTTATTACTAGTTGAAGAATATTCTGCAGGTGTTTAAGTCCGTGGGTCTGGGTGGCAAGGATTCCATCCTCTTTGAGTTTACACTCACTCGTCTGACCTTCTGGTCTCCTCGCATGTGTGAGCATGCAGCTCCTGATGCAAAGGGGTCTCCTGGCTGCTGGCCAGGGTTCTAATTACTTATCAGGCAGAGAAACACCCAGAGCAGGATGATGGCAGGAAAAAACTGCTGGGTGGAAGTCAAGAGACATGGGCCCAGCTGTGTGTGAATGTAAGCAAAGTCAGGAAGCTTCAAACCTCAGCTTCCTTATGGTAGAATGGGGACATGCTTCATGATGACAAATTCTGAAAATGCAAATCAGAGCATTTTAAAACCAGGGAGTTTCAGAAGGAAGCATCGTTAAACAAGTAAAGAAAAAAAAAAGTAACATTACAGGCAATGTTCTAAATTTTTAATGTAATAGATCAATGAAGGAATCTTGGGCTTGGCAGAGAGAAAGAGACTAACAGATGCTCTAGGCTGAAGGTCACCAAGATAAAGAATCCTGACTAGCAGTCAGCAGAACGAGACTTGAAGTCCCTTCAGAAGCGTTTAATCCCTTTGTCGCATCGAGAAAGACCATCGCCTCCCTCTCAGGGCTGCTCACCCACGTGTGAAAAGGCCAGAGACACTCAGTCTACCAGTTCTTTTGTTTGTTTCTTACTTTTTTGCCTGTACCGCTCACAACATGTGGGGATCTTAGCTCCCCAGTCAGGGATCGAACCCGTGCCCCCTGCATTGGGAGCACTGAGTCTTAACCACTGGACCTCCAGACCTGCCGGTCGTTACGTAAAAAGTTTTGCTGGAGCACAGTCATCCTTGTGCATTTGCTGGGTGTCTGAGGCGGCTCCCCCACGGTAAGCAGAGCTGAATGACTGTGACGGAGAAAGTCTGCCAGCCTCTGGGCCAGAGCATCGGCTCGAAACCGAGACTTGGGCAGAGGTGGAAGGCAGGGTCCTGCCCATCCCACATCTGGACCACTGCCTCCCGTGTGACCTTTTCCAGGCTTATCTTCTTCCCAGCACTCAAGCACTTCCCTCAAGACCTAGTTCAAGACTCTTCTTCCTCCAAAACAGCTTTCCTTAAATTTCCCCAACTCACTGTGACTGCCCCTCACCTGGATCCCCTGTGCCATAACTTCGGGGTGCCGGCCTTCCGTGACTCCCTCATCCAGACGAGGCCGTCTTTCCTGCGCCTGCCTGGGAAGCAGGGGGCCAGTTCCAACAGGGCTGCCTCCACTGCCCTAGGCCTGTGTGGGACCACTACAGACTTAACTCTCAGAAAATGCACCCAGTTCCTGAAAGGTCTTTATGGGGAATCCTCACTTTTGTTTTTGGGTAAACAGCAGGAGTCAGTCAAACTGCTTCCCCAAATACAAACGTGGGCATCCCACTTGGTACATCCCCCCACGTTAGTATCCATCACAGACTGCTGGGATGGTTAATCTGACATGTTAACTTATGCTGGTACGCTATTCTGGATGTGTATCAAGGTGTTTTTAGATAAGATCGATGTCTGAATCAGCAGACCGACCGGGTAAAGCAGATTGCCCTTCCCAGTATGGGTGGGCCTCACCTAGTCAGTAAAGGTCTGACTACAAAAAAAGGTTGGCCTTCCTGTGACTAAGAGGGAACTCCTGCCAGACTGCCTTGAGCTGGGACCACCAGTCTTTGTTCCTGCTTTTGGACTTCAACCGAAACTTCAGGTCCTCTTGGGTCTCAAGCCTGCTAGCTTTTGGATTAGAACTCACAGCAGCAGCTCTTCTGGTTCTCAGGCCTATTAGCTCTCCTGGGCCTCCAGCTTGCTGTCTGCAGGTCTCGGGATGTCTTAGGCTCCATAAGTCCATGAGCCAATTCTTAGAGCAAATCTTTTTATATAGATAAACATTCTATTACTTCTATTTCTCTAGAGAACCCTGATGAATACAGAATTTGGGGCAGAGAGTTGGGTACAGATTTTGGAACTAGAATTAGAGTATGGCTGTAACAAGAAAAACTATGACCAACCTAGACAGCGTGTTAAAAAGCAGAGACATTATTTTGCCAACAAAGGTCCGTATAGTCAAAGCTATAGTCATATATGGATGTGAGAGCTGGACCATGAAGAAGATTGAGTGCTGGAAAGCTGATGCTTTTGAACTGTGGTGTTGGGGAACACTCTTAAGAGTCCCTTGGAGAGCAAGTAGATCAAACCAGTCAATCCTAAAGGAAATCAACCCTGAATACTCATTGGAAGGGCTGATGCTGAAGCTGAAACTCCAAATACTTTGGCCACCTGATGCAAAGAACGTACTCACTGGGAAAGACCCTGATGCTGGCAAAGACTGAAGGCAGGAGGAGAAGGGGGCTGCAGAGGATGAGATGGTTGGATGGCATCCCTGACTCAATGGACATGAGTTTGAGCAAGCTCTGGGAGATGGTGAAGGACAGGGAAGCCTGGCGTGCTGCCCATGGGGTCACAAAAAGTTGGACACGATTATTATTATTGAATAATAATCTCAGTAGAAGCCATGAATAAGTAAGGGATTATACCAGTAGAAACACTGCCAGTTTGAACAGAAGGGGATGGAAATAGACCAGAATGAAGGAGGGGTGCCGAACATTTTGGATTCTGCAGGACAGAACCACAGAACTATATGCCTGTGACATATCTTTATCTTTCACAAAAAGAAAGGCGATTCAGAGATCATCGGGGCTGGCACTCCTGTCACGGGCCCACTGCTCAGTTTCAAAGGGTGGGGCTACCTCTCTGGTTTCTGTGATCCGGCATGTCCCCACCCAGTGTCCCAGGGGGAGGTCACCCTGCAGAGGCACTGGGGTTACTGTGCTCTCCCGATGGATCCAGAAGATAGCGCACTGAACCAAAAAGGATTATTATGGAGGCTTAAGATCAGATGGAATTTGCCTTGTAACTTTCTGGGCTTGCTGGAGACCTGTCATCCCTTCCTTCTTTCCTATTTCTCCCTTTTGAAACGGGAGTGTCTGTCCTGCCACTGTATTTTGGAAGCACTCAACATGCCTGGTTTCACAGGTTCTTAGCTGGAGAGGAATTTTGCCTCAGTGTGAACTTTACCTCAAGTCTCACCCATAATCTGACACAGATAATATTTAAAGGAGACTTTGGTTTGGGGGAGGTTTTTGTTTGTTTTTTAAGCAGGATTAACACCTGTCTGATTTATCTTTATTTTTTGTTTTATTTATTTTTACGTGTGGCATGAGGGATCTTAATTCCCTGACCAGGGGATCTAACTCATGTCCCCTGCACTGGTAGTATAAAGTCTTAACCACTGGAACACGAGGGAAGTCCCTTAAAGGAGACTTTGGACCTAGATTTTAGTTGATGTTGGAATGAGTTTGAGGGACGTTGACATGGAATGAATGCACTTTGCGTGTGAGATGGGTGTGATATGGGTGGGCAGAATATTATGCCCACCCAATTTTTTTTCCCCCCAAATCATATGCTGGAGCCCTAACCCTCAATGCAATAGTATTTGGTTAAGGGGCCTTTGAGGTATTTACGGCCAGAGGAGGTCATGAGGGTGAGGTCCGCCCGAGAGGGTTAGCACCCTTCTAAGAAATGAAAGGGAGTTCACATCCTCTCTTCTCTTTCTGCCATGTGACAACACAGCAAGACTGGCATGCATCTGCAAGCCAGGAAGAGAGTTCTCACCAGAAACTAACTCTGCTGACACCTGATCCTAGATGTCTAGCCCAGACGGCACGAAATTTCTGTCACTGAAGGTCTAGGGCATTGTTCTGGCGTCCAAGCAGACTAAGGTTCTGTAATCTACACGTTTGCTTAGCCAGCCATGGCCCACATCTCCGGACTCTGTTTCCCTTTGTTATCCTGCATCCCGCGTGGAGTCAGGACCACAGTCCAGTCACTTTGACTACTCCTGCTCCCAAATATGAGCACACCTAGTTGTTCTAACAGTGCTTTTCATTTTTCATTCTAACTCTTTGCATCTCAATATCAAAGAACTCTGCTGCCCAAAGAGTTAAAGCCACGACATCAGAAGGGGCTGGAAGGATGAAAGATCTACTGCAGCTGTGCCCTGACACAGCTGTATCCAGCTGTCACTGTTGACTGAGAATTAACAAAACAAGAGGTTACAGAGCTTCTCTTGGTTCAGTCTTCTGAGGACTGCTTTGCTACTTTGCCTAAAAGGAATTCCTGGACCTTCCCACACGATGCTCCACACTCAGGTGTAAAACACCACTGCGGGGCTCTCCCCGGCTTTGCCCTCTGCTTTACTGGCATAGGGACAATCGCAAATTGACTGGAGGACTAAACTCCATCCCACCTCAGGGGCAACGGGCAGGAAGAACACTCATGGTTGGCTTACCACCGTGGTCCAGGGCACCTGGGGGATCCTGGTGTAGGTCATCGTTAGGTAGATAATGAGGAAGAAGACGGTGAGGACCCAGTAAAACACAGCTACGAACATGACCCAGCCAAAGGCAGGGACCCGGAAGTACTCCGTTCCAGCGATGAGCGTCCATACCAGCAGTCCCAGAACCTGTCAAACAGGAGAGGCAGTGGGAAGGAAAAGGGAGATGGAAGAGAAAATAAAGGAGGAGGAGGAAGTGGAGACAGAGAAAAAAAACAATCAGGCAAAGTGTCAACTACAAGTTTCATGCATACATATGGATACATGTAACAAATGTGACTAGGGGCAAACTCACATTCCTGGGAATACCAGAAAGGGAAAATGAATGAACAGGGCAGGCTGGGCAGAGACCAGGGCAAGCAGGAAGCCCATGTCTCGTCTCTGCCCAGCTCCGGCCAATTGCTGTGGGCTGGTTCTCTCACTCTTTCTCCCCGCCTGCCCCCAGGAAAACACAGAAACTCAAGTTTGTATGTGCTGATAATCTTGATTTTTAAATGCCAACCCTGGAATTCCTTGGCAGTTCAGTGGTTAGGACTCAGCACTCTCACTGTGAGGGCCTGGCCTCAATCCTTGGTCAGGGAACTAAGAGCCCGCAAGTCTCATGGTGCGGCATGCATGTATGCATAAATGAATGAGTGAATGAATTAATCAACAAACGTTAGCGCTAATAAAGAGGGACAAAACAACACACATCTGTGGCTGGAATCTGTTCCCGACACCCGTCAAGGGAACAAGAAACAAGCTGTAGGTTTATTCCAACAGTCTCCCGACTTCACCGCGGCTGCTGGGTAGGATCAGCCCGAAGCCCTGTCATGTCAGCACTGAGTGAAGGAAGGATGCTGTGGGGATTTCTGGTTCTCAAGGAGAGAGGCCACAACGAAAAGTCCGTCTCCCACCCAGCACCTTCCAGGGCCCAGGAGGACTGCATTTCTGAGTCACAGGCAAGTTGGCATCTAAACCCTATCCCCAGGAGACAGCATCAGGTGTCTGGGACAGGCGCTGGCTGCTATGACTCGGATCAAGCAGTTTCCTTCCTGTCTCAGCTCTCTCCATGGGATGTGACACAAAATGGACTCTGATCACTCTGGTCATTCGGCCTTGACACCCGAGCACCTACCACGGGCCAGGCTTCCTGCTCATGGGCCCCGAGGACGGAGCCAGGCAGAAACCAAGCAGATCTGCTCATGCACCACTTAAGAGTCTTGTGAGGGGAGATACACGAACAGTCACAATTGTGAACATGCTATGAAGGAAATGAAGGGTGTGACCAGAGTCTCTAACAGGGGGTCATGAGCTCACGGGCAGAAAAGGCAAGTATCAGAGGGGGCCATGCTGAGGAAGAGTCTGAAGACCCACTAAGAGTATGAAGACGGCTAGGCGGATGCTGTCCCAGGCAGAGGGCATGATGTGAGCAGAGAGCTGCAGGGGAAGGGCCTTCTAAAACCTGTAGAAAGTGGAGAATGTTAGGACATGGGTACAAGATGTTAGAAGGCTTGGCGACGGTCAGATTCTGTGTGCCGGGACACCTAAGGACTTTGGACTTTATTCTAAGGGCCAAGAGAGGGTTTTGAGCAAGACAATGATATGAAGAGGTTAAGTTTTTGTTAAGATCACTTTGGCTGCATGGCAAGAACAGGTAGACAGGTGGCTGAGTTGTGGGGTGGAGAGACAAATTCAGAGACTGTTGTAATAATCCAAGTGGAAGAAGATGACAATGTGTTTAAGACTAAGATGCTGGTGAGTACTGGGAAGTGAATGATTGAAGGCAAATTTCAGAAGGAGTCAGGACCTTCACGGATTTGATGGATTAGATTACGATAAAGTGGAATTACACCCGGGTCTCTGGAAAAACTCCCCAGTGGATTAGGGTGTCACCTCCTCAGCTGAAAAGATGAAATAAAGGAACAGGTTAACAGGGCTGATCTGGGCTCAGGTTACAACCTTGCCCATTGGAGCGAGCCTGGGACCTTGGGATGGGATGAGAAGTGGATGGTCCAGGGGAAGAGTTCAGGCCCTGCTTTAGGAAGGAAGACTTCCTGGGAGCATCACTGAGTGGGCATCACTAAGACAGGTTTCCAGGGGACCTTTGAAAGTGCTCATGGAGACAAGCCCACCTCCCTGTCAAAGTCTGGATGTCTGCACTGGGGAGCAGAGAGCAGACTCTGAACACTGCTACTTTCCCTCCTTGGAGCTGAAAGCCGAGGTTCTTCTATCTGCCTAATGTCCTATGTGAATCCAAAGAAGTGTTTATGTACTTTGGGGCTCACACTGTGGCAAAGCAATTTATTGAAAGCAAAGAAGTATCAAACAGGATAAAATTCCAGACAATGTCAAGACTCTCACCCCTGGGGTTATGATCCAGAATTCATCATAACTGACAGGTAACCTACACACACAGATGTGACATTCCATTGTATCAATAGGACAGGTAACACATGTCATCTGGCATGGCAGGATCTGAAATAACATCAAGGGCTTCTTGATTCAAACTGAAGGGGTGGGAAGGTCCCTTGTTGAGGATTCACCCAGGAAATAACCATGGGAGGAGCCACTGCTAATGGGGCTGGTATCTCTCCAGGAGTGTGCAAGGGTTTGAGAGTTGCCAGGATAAGCTCATATCCAGCTACATGGGCTTAACTAAAAGCTCTTGACTCTAAATATGAAAATGCTTTTCATTACTAAAAGCAAGTGGAGTCCACTGTCCAGAGATGCTCTAACATGCTTGCAGTGGTCATCTTTTACAGACAAGGATGGTATCTCTAACTGAGCTATCAAAGAGTAAGAATATTTGACCCAATATCTCATCAGCAAACACAAGAAAAGAACTGTCAAGAAAAGACAGTTTTCTTGAAAATCGTCTTCAAGAAAATTCCTACCCAAGTGAATTTCTTGGGCAACTGAAATACACCCGGAAGCAACTTTTGTCTCTCACTATAACCAACGCTGATGAAAACCACTCTACAAAACCACTCATCTCCTGTTGTGTGTGTGTGTGTGTGTGTGTGTGTGTGTATTTAAGACAAACTCTACATCTTTATTTGCTTAGACTTCAAAAATTCTGTTTGTTTTTCACTGACAAGCATTATTTTAGGCTAACACTTTTTTTGGAATGGTAAATCTGAGACCTAAAAAAAACTTTTGAAAGTGATAAATGCAGGCAAAAATATAAACATGGCAGTAGACAAAGCATATATAAAACATACAAAGAAGTTATAACCCTCAGCTACCAGTTGTAAATTCTCAAGAGAAACCAACATAAAAATTTTATGTCTACCCTTCTTAACTTCTTTCGCTTGCATTTATCACTATCATTACTACCTGCCAATTCTTTTCTCTTTCCTTTGAAAATATGGGCCACTCGGTACAGGGTGCCTATAACTTCTGTCTTTCAGTCAGCCGTACCAAGGAGGCCCTTCGTCCAGATCTATTTCGATTCTAACAGCTGCCCAGTTTTCCATAATTCATGGGATCTGTTCCCTATGGAGAAAAATTTAACTTGTCACCTTTATGCTTCTACAAAACATGTCCAGGGAACATTCTTATAGAATGTATGCTGCTGCTGCCGCCGCTAAGTTGCTTCAGCCGTGTCTGACTCTGTGCGACCTAGCACAGCAGCCTACCAAGGCTCCCCATCCCTGGGATTCTCCAGGCAAGAACACTGGAGTGGGTTGCCATTTCCTTCTCCAATGCATGAAAGTGAAAAGTGAAAGTGAAGTTGCTTAGTCGTGTCTGACTCTTAGCAACCCCATGGACTGCAGCCTACCAGGCTCCTCCAGCCATGGGATTTTCCAGGCAAGAGTACTGGAGTGGGGTGCCATTGCCTTCTCCGACAGAATGTATATACCCCTGCAAACCCGAATTCCCAAATAACAGTCTTAGAAATGCAATTTCTAGGCTATTTTAAGCTTCTGAGGTACTGTCAAATTAGCCATCAAAAATCTTGTGCTAACTCATCTTCTCATCAGAGCATGCCTGCTCTTCCTTTCTAACCTCATTAAATGCCCAGGTCTTAAATGATTAAAAACCTGATTTTAAAAAAGAGAGAATGAGATCTCACTTTGCCTTTCACTGCTTGGCTGAAGTATAGCGCAGAGAAAAGTGCATAAATCCTAAGCGAACAGCTCAGGGGATTTTCACAAACTGGACTAACCTCCGTCACCAGCACCCATCTCAAGAAACAGAGCACCTGGGGGCTCCATCCTCACTCCTAGTTAACTTCTTCCTTCCTCCGATGGGCTCAAGGCCCCTGGCTTCTATCATCCGTGGTCTGGGACTTCAAAGACATGGAATCTTATCATCCAGACTCCCATGTTTGGTTTCTCTCACTCAGCAACGAGAGTTTCATCCATGACACTGACCACTGTGTTTTCACAGCACCAGTTCTCAAACATCAGAGAATCGCCTGAAAGGGTCCTTAACCCTCAGGTGAAGAGGCTCCATGCCAGGGTTTGTGATCAGGAGCAGATCTAGGAAGGGACCTGAGGATCTGTGTTTCCAACAAATTCCCAGATGGTGCTGTTGGTCCAGGGACTGCATGCTAAGAACCACTGATGTACAGTATTCTTATTTTAGTCTGCATTTTCCTGATCAGTTGTGAGGATGGAAGAGCATCAAAGGCTTATTAGCTACTTCCAGTTCTGATTTACGGATATTTTTTACAAAATCATGTCCTTACTGATCTGTAGAAATCTTTACATAACAGGAATGGTAACCACCAACACTTGCGGCAATCTTTTCCCATCCAGTTTTTTTCTTAAACTTCAGTTTTCAGTCACATGGGAGTTAAAATTTTTACACAATTAATAGGTCACTCTTTGAGCCTTCTTTTATTCCTATGTGCTTAGGAAGGGCTTCCTTAGCACCAATATTAAAAAATATTCTCTGATATTTTCTGAGAGCTTTGTGTGTTTGCTTAATCTTCAAACAAACTAGAACTGAGTTCTACAGATAGGGTGAAGAAGGTCCAATTTTCTTCTTTCTCGCAAATGGTCAGGTGATCTGTTATCACACACTGGTGACGTCTCACATACTGGGTCAGTGTCTGAAATCTTTATTCTGTTCCACGCATCTGTACTGACTGCTATGAGCTGTGCTCAGGTGCTCAGTCGTGTCCAACTCTTTGCGACCCC